CAGATGGTTGATCCGGCAACTTGAAAATTGCAAACAACACGAGTTTGTTGATGTTCGACCAAGCGAAAGTCCGCAGAGGGTTTACGTTTTGTAGGCTGCAAAGCAATCATGCGTCGCCTGACAGCGCGGGCCCGCTCCGAACCCGCCCCGAACCCGCCCCGAACCCGCTGCGCACCCGCTCCGAACATGTTTTGCTGTGCATTCCTGGTTTCTTGTTGGCGCTTGTGTGTATTTCCTTCTGGCTTCAACGTAGTCTGACAATCGTAGTCCATTAAAGAAGGGGCGGCAGCGGTAGGGACATTGTGTTCTTGCTGATGGCGCGTGCGTAGCTTTGCTTCCAGGCTGATGCTTCGGCCGTGAGGTTTCAAGCAGACACGTTGCGTTGCGTCGTCCTGGTTTTGCCATGGAGATGCCACCTCACTCCTGCTCATTCCCGTCCATTTGGTGCTTGTGGCATGCCGTGACATGTCCGAACGTGGAGAAGGCAGATGCACCGGGTGCAGGGCTTTCGTTGCTTTGTCTTCCATGTTAATACAAGGCTTTTTGTCGCCCAGTCAGGGAATGCAATCAACGAAGGACCACCTTCATGTCGCTCTTTAGCTACTTGCTGGACGGGTCCCCTTGCTGGACGGGCTTGCTGGACGCGTCCCCTTGCTGGACGGGTCCCCTTGCTGGACGGGTCCCGTTGCTGGACGCCTCCCCTTGCTGGACGGGTCCCCTTGCTGGACGGGCCCCCTTGCTGGACGGGTCCCGTTGCTGGACAGCTCCTTGCTGGACGGCTACTTGCTGGACGGCTTCTTGCTGGACGGATCGGATCCTGGCTGGACGGCTGCATGCTGCACGGCTCCTTGCTGGACGGTTCCTTGCTGGACGGCTGCATGCTGGACGGCTCCTTGCTGGACGGACCCCCTTGCTGGGACAGGTCCCTTGCTTGACGGCTACTCGCTGGACGGCCCCCTGCTGGACGGCCCCGTGCTGTACGGCTCCTTGCTGCGCGGCCCCTTGCTGGACGGCCCTTTGATTGCTGGATGGGTCCACTTGCTGGACGGGTCCCTTTGCTGGACGGGTCCCTTTGCTGGACGGGTCCACTTGCTGGACGGGTCCCCTTGCTGTGCAAGTCCCCTTGCTGGACGGGTCCCCTTGCTGGACGGCTTCCCTTGCTAGACGTGTTCCCTGGTTAGATGAGTCCCCTTGCTGGACGGGTCTCTTTGCTGGACGGGTCTTTTTGCTGGACGGGTCTCTTGCTGGACGGCTCCTTACTGGAGGGCCCCTTGCTGGACGTTTGCTTGCTGCGCGGCCCCGTGCTGGACGGCGGGCCCCCTGCTGGACGGCCCCTTGCTGCACAGCCCCTTGCTGGACGGCCCCTTTTTGTTGGACGGGTCCACTTGCTGGACGGGTCCCCTGGCCACCCCTTTGCTGCACGGGCCGCTTCCTGTTTTTGACTGCTTGTTCTTTCCGTTTGGAAACAGTTTGGGGAAACCTTTTTTTGCTACAGTTACCGAAGTTGTAACATCATTTCGCTTGTTCCGCGTAAAAAAACGCCAAACAAGCGCGTGGTTACCGTTAAGGAAAGTTCGTGGCAACTGGATTGAGTTGTTTTCGCGGTAACTGGTACGTCTCCGGCATTTGAGAGGCAGTCTCTGGTGCTCAGCATTTCTTTGGGTAGACAGGCTGCTAACGCCTTGTTGACATGGCTCACTAATACCACGGAATAGTGGTCACGCACGTTGATTGCCCCAGCAACGGAGCGTTCATGCTTGCTGGCAATTGCTTGGAGTGGCTGCCTTGCGCGGGGCCTGTGCCTGGCAGGAGTGCCGCGCCAGCTGCTAATCTGCAACGCAATGCTTACTGCACTTACTACTCGTACATGATTGTCACAGGCAAGGGACAAGTCTATGCCTTGTTGCCCTTTCCATCTCCCTTGGCACTGACAGCTTTCGGGGTCCAGCTGGAGCTCTTGAACAGCTTTTGGTGCTGCTTCTCCTTCACATCTTTGGACACGGGAGCCCAATTCCAACCATGTCTGCCGAAGAAGCTCGATGAACCATGGCGCCATGAAAATACTGCAGCTGTGATAGCGTATCAGTCCGTGCAGCTCTCCTTCGCCACGATGGCTTTGTTGCTGCTGCAAGCAAAAAGGGCGAAGTCGTGTGACGTGACACTTCGGACTAGGAGGGCACTCCTAGTCAGAGGCTTGAGCCCTCTAGCGCAGTCACACCGAAGAAGCGCCCACAAGATCTTCTACATCCTCCCCTGACACCGGCTTCAGTGCAGACGGCTCATGAGTTTCACGGCAATCGCGCTGCCGCGCGTGTCAAGAGAAGCCTGCTGCTTCTCAGTTCGATCTAAACGGTGTGTTTCGCAGCGTCCACCGCGAAGGCGCCGCGAAAGCAAACCTGGGAGAATGAATGCCTGCGAAAACAAACGTGTGGTCGCAAAAGCATCGCGACAGGGTTCGCGAAAGCAAACCGTTAGTCCCGCCGCTTACATAAGAGTTTTCTGCATGGCTCACTTATATAGAAGACATGTAGGTTCTGTGGCCCCAAAATCATGCGTTTCCGGAGGAGAGCTTGCTCCCCAAAAAACATCAAGGAGCTGTGTGCAGCACCTCAGAGTCATCAGAGCTTAGCGCCGTGTCGGTTGTTATGCTTTGAAAGCGGCACCAAATTTGCCAGTTCAGCCTGGCAGAGAGTCCATGTGCATGTTCCTTGCAATATGCTGCCAAGATGTATCGTCTAAGGTTCTTGATGTTTCAAGGCCCAACCCAGAAGGGCTACCTGCAAGATTGATGTCCCATCGCTGTGTTGGGGCGCAACATGCCCTTGTTTTGAGGGGCCTACTCGGCGCAACGGGAGATTCTGGCGCATATCATTTGAACCTGAAGGCACGCCATTGGGGGAATGCGAGAATGTACCATGGTAGGTGTACCAAGTTGCCTCATTACACCCCAAGGTCACAGCCCAAAGCTTGACAAACGATGGCAAATTCAGCTTGTCGTTCAAAGGTGCTGAACTGATTTTTCAGATGGTGAAGGCTGCCCGCTGTACCAGCCCGTGTAGCCTGTCAGTCAAAAGCGAGAGATGTGCCTGGCACGAACTCTCATCCAATGTCATCCTGTTGGATGAGGCCTTGGCAGACACGGAGAAAGATGCCATCCAAGAGACGCAAGAGGTCCAGTGCTCGAATCGAGGTCCTCCTTTTTCGAGTTTCCCAATGTCAAGGGTTTGTCACAGTTCGTTCAATTCAAAAACTGTGCCGAACCCAGAAACCTAACCAAATCCTGAGTTTAACATTTTGTCAATCCGGAGCTAGCTGATTCAAACCTCTCGAGGTCATCGCACACTGCATCGACGCGCAGCACCTTGAAGCGCCATGGAACGCCCTCAGGCACTCGGGGTGGGTTTCTTGGAGTCTTTTATGAAAGACATAATGTCGCTAACAGTCGGCCGTGCAGCTATCCGCTTGCACTCAAGTGCCCGCAGAAGCTGCTCAGATTTAACATCGCAACTAGGCCAAGCGTAGCAGAAATCAGTGACTGTAAAGGACTTCGGACGCCTGAGCGCCATGCCGCCCTTTGTGTTGAAAACCCTTGCCTTTCGCAAAAGACAAGGGATAGAGGTGGAATGCCCCACAAAGTTCTGAATCTGTGGTGCGGAGCACTCTGGAGAAGGGAGTGCCCTTCCCCTTCCGTTGGAAGTCCAAGGGGCAGGCCTTTGGTGCATGGAAGTATGTGCATTGTCCAACGGAGACGGAGCTTGAGAATCTGGACAAGCTCCTGCGTTCGCATGATGATGAGGCCTGCGTTCCGATGGCTGTCTTATGCCATGTGGTGCAGTACCTTTCCTGCGTTATAGCTCATGCCAAAGGAACTTGGGTTGCTCTTGCGCAGTGTTTGTGAAGCATCTCCGTGGCAGTTTACGCCATGTGGGCCTTGCAAGTATCTGTGCAGGGTCCGCTTCTTCCAAGCGATATTGTGGAGATCCACCATGAGCAGCGTGGGGTCACACGAGCTCGCGTCATGGACACGGGCGAGCTCATCAAATTGGTACGGCCAGATTCGCAAGGTGAAGCGTGAGCTCGTGAAGAAAGCCGAGGGATGGTGACACCAACCAGCAAAATATTGTTATCCCTTGCGCCATGTTGGAAGCGGGGCCAGAAGGATGACAGGCGCTAGTTGCGAGGTATTGACCCCATACAGTACCGCAAGAATGCATCCCCTGTAGTTCTCCTGCTGCGCGCAGTATGCTGGGTAGGTTGACTGCCGCCGCAGCCTTTCGATCCGGCTAAACACTCAAGGCTCGGCACAGGCAGCTGGTCCTGCAACTGACTTTGTGTTTGAGGTTCAGCGTGGACGCAAGCTTTTGCATCACCTGAAATCCCAACCCACCAACCCTGCCCTGGTCAAGACTCAACACGAATTCAACGTGTGACAAGCTTTAACATGCCACACCAGCCGCTGGGTTTTTGCTATGACGGGCAATTCAATGACCAAATGCCATTGGGAGGCTCCCATCCCAAGAAGAGCAGGGTTTGGAGACCAATCAATCTTCGGAGGCAGGCGCTTTCCAAACACAAGCCGGCCAATTCGCAATGCATAAAATGCTCAACAAACAGGATGTCAGGGTTTGTATTGGCCGTGCATCCCGAGGTGTCCCTTTGGAAAATGCATTGCTTGTCGAGCCCAGCAGATTGGGTTCGTCATGACACTGCGAGTAGCTGTCGAAACACATGTGTTCATTGGCCGAAGGTTTCTTTGTAGGGCGGTGTGCAAAAGATTGCGCAGAAGCGTTTCTCAACTTGCACATCAACATGTTAATAGTTTGTTGTAATTGTTCTGCAGGAGGAGTTTGCAAGAGAATGGCTGCCAGCCATAAGTTTCCTCCTCCATGTTCATCCTGCTGCTTGGCTGCCAGGTTCAGACTACTTGGCATTTTGTGACAGATCAGGTGACTTTCTCCCCAAGTCATGGCTGCCGGAAGCTTCTTGATTCTGGCTTTGTGATGAGCCCAAATATCTTCGAAGAGATTGTTGACGAGTTGCAGCCTTTCATTCGAGAGATTGGCTACAACAATGATGAAGAGGCCCTCAAGGCTTTGCAAGCCAAGCTCCAGGAAAACAACTTCCAGTCATGGCTCAAAGTATTTTACGCACAGGGAGCCGCTTCGTGGTACCAATGCTATTCCTATGAAGCCGGGGCAGGGAAGAACAGGCACCTTCGGCAACTGGCCCACATGCCTGTTGAAAGTGGTAACACCCTGCTGAATGTTTTGGTGCAGAAGAATTTCCCGCAGTGTGCGCGATGGCTTCTTGAGAACTATTCCAATTCTGCCCAAGTTGACAAGTGGCTGGTGCTCGCAGATGTTACTTGGAAAAGCGGGGAACGCAAGAGAACTGCACTCCACACGGCCTGCATGCATGGCCACCTCGAGTCTTTGGAAGTGCTCCTGGAACACCTTTCCAAGCGGATGGATTTCGTGAAGCTTTTGGAGGAGCCAAATCAGGCGGGGAGCATGCACCAAGGAGAACTGCAAACCTTTGTAGAAACTGCTACTGGCTACGTGTGTCAGAACCAGTCTAGTTTGATCTTTTCTTCATGTTTGTTCGGTTCTTGTCGAGGTTTCAATGTACATGTGTCAGCCTGAAGGAGCAGCATAGTTGCCTTCAGCTTTTGGTCGATCGCCAGTTTCACAGCTGCATCGAATTGGTACAGAGTCATGGCAAGCTGCTTGATATGGAGATTCTAATGCCAGCGCCTTCCCCAAGATCAGACCTCGAGATTCATTTCGTTGAAAAGGAAGAAGAGAGCAACGAGACAGGTCCAATTGTTAAGCTTCGGGTTGCTCAAGGTCAATCACAGCTGGAGGTGCTGTTCGAGTACCTGAAAGCAGTGGAGCCGGCTGCCACGAGGCTGCACATCCCGAAGATAGATGATCCGCAGCACATGGACGCTGGAATTGTCGATTCGATGTTTGAGCAGTTTGCACGATTCCAAACGGTGGACATACACGGCTTTGTCCATCCTGATGTCTACAGATTCATGTTGGACTCGCTGTTTGCCTTGGGCAAGAGGCTGGTCTGGAAGCCAATTCGCCTTCAAGAAGTCGCACTCTTTGTGCGTCCAGTTGAAATAGAAGGCATGGAAAGCCTTTTCAAGAAAAGGATCGACAGCATTGCGCAGCAGATCATTGCATTGATGGTTGTGCAAAAAACATGGAAGGTGCGTTTGACTAATATACATTTTGCAGACCCAGAGTTGCGAAGACTGCTTCACAGATTGAAGTGGATCACGGAAATTGTGATGTTTGTCACTACGGATGCAGTCTGGTCCCGTGCAGCTGAGCAGACAGAAAGAGGGGAATTATTTGTCGACAATCCGTTCAACAAGGGGCTCTTACAGATCTGCGATATTGCTTTGGGCCGCAACATGAAGCACCTCCGTCATTGCTCCGACCTGGCCAGTGCGTTGTCCGAGGACTTTTGGGAGTTTGTAGAGAACTTTCTTGACACATGGTCTCAGCTCGTTGAGGCCTTTGCCAGGCAAGCAGCGGTGATTGATTGTGCAGACAAGCGCCTCAAACTGCTTTTCCAGAACCTTGACCATGCAAGCGCCGCCATTCTGCATACGCTGTTGTCTTTGGACGAACATTTGGATGCGGGAAAGCCGGAAGGTGCCAGGAAGGGAGCGCAGCGTGCCATGGAGTACCTGCGAAGACTCCAAGCCTGCGAGGAAGCCCTTGCCTGTAAACTCTTCCAAATGCGAAGTTGCATTTCCCATGCGTGGTCATGGAATTCAAGCACCAGTTTGAACTGTTGAAGACGACCGATCTGGCCAAGAAGTACAAGAACATGTGGGGCCCTGACCAGAGTTTATACTGGGTGACGGGTGCTTTGGCCTTTGTGCCAGAGGATCGGCTGTCAGAGGATCGAAAGTTCCTTGTGCAAGAGTACATGAAGGGCGAAGAACGAATCAAGAGAGTGAAGTGGGACTCTGTTGTCCTTGTGGAGCTGGATATGGCAAATGATTTCCTGATTGACGTGAGAGCCAGGTCGCAACGCGCAACTGGGTTGCAGAAGCTGCCGAAGCGCCATCTTCACGATGGAAAGAAATCATTCGAGCAGCGGGATAGGCGCTGCACGCTCTTCCATACAGAGCAAGTGAATGTGGCCACTGAAAAGCACGGCGGAGGACTGAGACTTAGAGGCAGCCAAAAGTTGCCACAACGACACTTAATCGTAAAAAACTCCATGTTGTCCTGGGAGTTTGCCCCGGGCGACATCAATCTGACACAGAGCGCTCCAGCAGGCTTGCGACAATGGAAATCAAGACCCCTGTCAGACGCACAAGTACTGACCCAGCTAGAGAAGATGACATCAAGACCTTGTGGAAGGGCTGTCAAAGACTTTGAAGAAGACGTAGAGGACGAAGAAGGCAGCTGAGCTGTTTGGCCTTTTCCCATTTCGCTGCGACCATTTGCTCGTGGGAAAGGGCGGTTGACAGTGTCGAGAGCCATGGCCATGAACCAGTTCACATGAGCTTAGTCTGGCCACTGAAATTTGGATGCTTTCTGGCCATGTCTCTTATGAACGTGAGGGAAAAGGTGGCGGGAGCCATGTTACTGGGACCAACGTTAGGCGCTATTTTGTTGTCAACAAACAGGTTGCTCAACAGGCTCGACAGTTTAACGACCTTAGTTGTTTTTTCCAAAATGAGGTCTACGTCTTCCGAATCCCCTTTGTGGCAACCTTGTGCCGCGCCAATGATTGAAGCGCCTAGCTTGTAGCACCGCCACTAGCGCCACCGCATCATCAACAGCAGCAGCAGCAGCAACAACAGCCACAGCAACAAACAGCAGCAACAACAGCAGCGGCAAGAACAGCAACAGCAGCGGCAGCGGCGACGGCGACGGCGACTGCAACAACAACAACCACCACCACCACCACCACCACCACCACCACCACCACTACCACTACCACTAGCACCACCACTACCACCACCACTACCACCACCACTACCACCACCACTACCACCACAAGAACAAGAACAAGCACAAGAACAAAAGCAAGATTAGTCCAAAGAACAAGAACAACAACAAGATAACAAGAAGCACAATAACAACAACAAGAACATCAACAACAGCAACAGCAGCAGCAGCAGCAACAACAACAACAACAACAACAACAACAACAGCAACAGCAACAGCAACAGCAACAGCAACAGCAACAACAACAACAACAACAACAACAACAACAACAACAACAACAACAACAACAACAACAACAACAATGTGAACAGACGCATCATGAGCATGTGCATGTTCCGCAGGAATCTACAACCAGCCCCCCGGCACCCTTTGGCTCAAGCCTGGACTCTAGGGTCCATCAAGGTATCAAAACAGGGGGGTTGCTGCGCCGGATGGTTTCTTGGCCTTAGGGCAGTGATTTCCAACCTGGTGATTTACAGTATTCCCACCTGTTCTCAGGTTATCAGCCGTAGCGCTCGCGCACGGTTGCCACGTTGTAGCGTACGTCGCGCGCGTGGAATCGAGACTTTCAATTGCTGTGCAATATCAATTGGCTTTTGCAGTGAAGAGCTATGTCCGAGGGCCGTGGAGATGGAGGATCCGAATCTTCAGTAACCTTCGGTGGCTCCGCTGGAAGGGCTATGCCAGCTACTGGACTTTCCAGTAACGCTTCGCCGGAGTCCGGCGCAGGAAGCGGTCAATCATTGGTGGTCGTAACCCCGGTTGGGGGAACTACTGTTTCGTCACAGGTCGTCGAGGAGGTGAACATGGAAGCTGTGCAGGTCATGACCCCTAGAGTACGACCTGCCGAGGACGAAGCAGCTACTGAGGTACGGAAAGCGAGGAGATCGACGAAGTCAAGTTCTCCGCGATCCGCTACCCCTAACGCAGACGAGCAGCTGGAGAGTGATTTGGCTGTTCATGCATTGAAGGCGTCTCTGCGACTGGTTGAAGCAGAAATGGAAAACAAAGAAGAACAGGCACGAGAGAGAATAGTTGCCTTGGAACCGAGAATTAAGGATCTAGTGTCCGATGATGAGGGAAGTACGATGAGAATTGAACAGCTAGAGAGAGCCCGAGACATTTCATCTGAGCAGGCGGCTCACCTCGTGGCCAAGTACAGCGAGCTGGAGGAACGACACCGGAAGGTAACCAATGAGGGGATGAGATTACTTTCCGATTGGGGTGTTCTTCAGAATCAACTTGGCGAGTTGAAGTCGGAGCACGAGGCCCAGATGGATAAAATCGAGGGTTCCATGAATATGGCTGAACGAAGATGGAATAACAGTGAGAATCGGATTTCCGAGATGAGGGATGTAGGTCGGAAACTCGAGAAAGAACTGGATAGTTCGAAGAGGAACGAGGAGCTCGTCGCTCATGAATTGAGGACTGTTCGAGGGGAAGTTGCGAGCTTGAGGAGTTCAAGGGACGAAGTTTCCGAGAATGCTCAGGTGTCCAGGAGAAGTTCACTGAGGACGTTGTCGAATGCCTCAGAGACTTTGCTGGTCGGCGCAAGATCAAGCCCGCCTACTCGGATGAAGCGCCAGAGCTTGTGGGAGCACGCAGGGAACTTCGGATACCCCTGGACAACTCGTTGCCAGGGAGGCCCAAGAACAACTCCCTCTCAGCATTGATCAAGTGAGTACTTGTTTACTCGCAGCTGGTTTGCCTCCATGCTACTGGTCTTTTGCATTGAAGTCAACATGCCATCTGCTCAACATCGAGGACGTTGAGGGCGAGAGTGCTTGGTTTCGACTGCATGGTGAACCCCTTCCCAGGACCACAAGTGCCATTCGGATCGCTGGTTTACTTCAAGCCTTCGCCAACAAGGGACAACACTCACAAGTTCACGCCAAGAGCCATGATTGGAGTGTTGGCCGGGTACGAGATGTCGAAGGGTATGTCCTGGAGCGCCAAGATGATGGTTTGGCCATTGGAGTCGTTCGTTGGGGCGGATTTGACGAACCGTGCAAGACGGTGCCACCAATCCTGAGAAAGCCACATCTCACCGACAAGGTCAAGCTGAAACTGCCATTGAAGTTTCCGTTGAAGAATGAGTTCGAAAGGGTCAATGAGGATCTAGAAGGTTTACTTCAAGCGATTCGAGAAGGAGACCTACCGGAGCTCGGTGATGATCCGGATTATGAGCCTGAAGCGAACGACGGAGACGAACATGGTGATGATGGTGAAGATGATGGAGGCGATGAAGGAGGTGGTACTGGTGGCGGAAGAGGAAGCAGTAAAGACAAAGCCTTGGAGAAGGCTGCAGAGAGATTCGAGGTTGGTGACCTCGGGCTGGATGATGTCAACTTCGAAGAGGAGGATCCAGAAGTGCGCGAGGTGTTGAAGGACTCGAGGGTAAAAGGAGAAATTCCCTGTCCACCGGATGTCGATCCTGGAGCACGGAGGTGGGACCGGAGAGACGTTGGTGCAATTGTCTTCCAGACGACCAAGAAAGGAGGATCCAACTGGAAATCGGTCGTTGGTAGGACAACCATTGACTGCAAGACTTGCAAGGCAAGGTCGTCGACTGCATCAAGATTGATCCGTCCAAGCCCGAGGATGACTATCGGACACCGATCGGCACGAATGGTGAAGAGTTCGAGATAGACACCTATCTCTGGTACGTTGAACCTTTCGAGGTCAACCCGCCAGCGGATGAGCTGCAGCACGTGAAAGAAGGGAAGGCAGGCGACGGTGTCATCTACAAGGAGGATGAAGGAAGGAGAGTAAAGATTGATCGGATTGGAAGACCTTTCGAAGTTAGTGACGATGGAAGAAGGAAGCTGAAGACCACGCGTCCAATGTACAAGACTCCAGAAGAATGGAAGAAGATGTCTCATGAGGACCGGATCCTCTGGCACAAAGCCGAGAAGTTCGTGGAGGAGGACCTCAAGAGGGACATCCGCAAAGCCGAGAAGAAGATGAAGAAGGAGAAGAAGAAGAAGGATAAGAAGGATAAGAAGGATAAGAGAGATGAGCCTGATGCTGAAGACATCGCGGCAACCCAAGACTTGGCTCGCAATCTGAAGTTGATGAGGAAGGAATTACGTTCTATGTCCGCTAGCGCGAACGAATGGGACAAGTCCAATCCTTACAACACGCCTATAACCACTCTTGCAGAAGGTAGATGGGGAAAAGGAGATTGGAGGCACATCAAGCTTACTCCAAAGATAATCAAGGATGACAAGGAGTGGGCCAAACTCATTGGAGATTTATACCACATGTCCGTGAAGTCCTTGCTCATGAGCCCAAAAACGGGCGGAATCCTGTCTCTGAGAGGCTTGGATGAAAGAGGCAGGAGGTATGATGAACTCCAGGAATGGAGGATTGCACTTGAAGGAGAAGGAAAAATCGATGCGTGGCTCCTGTGGGAAGAAGCCTATACATCCAATGCCGCCCCATCGATGGTCCCCGAGGACGTATTGCCGGAGTGGGAGGAGATGGCAGCTTATGCGGATTGTGCGTCTTGTGTTGACAGCGAAGCAGCACCTTCACAATGGGAAGACGGGACTCCTCGGATGCCGTGCATGCCTTGCTCGCCACAGCATAGGGAGAAACTGACCTTACGAGGCAGTTCTCTGCCCAACGCCCTGGTCTCAAGGTCGGTTGGACGAAAGGAAATGTTGTCCAATCCGCGTGCATTGGAGGCCATCCGAAAGGAATGGAATGGCCTACACAGTCAGGGAGTCTTTGACATGTCCGTTGTGAGGGAGGTCGATGATGTGCGGAGGGAAGCCAAAGAGACTGGATCAGTCGTCCATTTCGCACGAGTTCACGGCATCATGGTCGA